GACAGGGGGGGACAGGAGTGGATGGAGCCTCAGCTGCGGTTTCGGGGAGCCACGGCAGTGGCTGCAGCATCTCACCAGCCCCTGTGTGTTGAGACTTGCGTGGGCTTTGCCGATGGGTAACCAGCAGCACTGAGGAGCCGTGTCTGGCCACACACAGGGCTGGTGTGAGAACCTGGTCCCCAGGGCCCGATCCTGCACAGTGCTGCCCATGGACACCCTCCATCCATCCAGCGGCTCTTCTCTGGTTTGGGCTGGGGCTGTTAATGGTGCTGGCCTCAAGCTGGCCTCAAAAAAAAAAAAAAAGGCAAATGGCAGAACTGTAATGCAAAAGCCTCTTAAAAACCCTTTGACCTGATGCTGCTGTTACGGGAGAAGAAAGGAGAAAGAAATTGCTTATAACAAATGTGCTGAAGTCCTTAATTGCCTTTTCCGGCAGGAAAGCCAGGCTGTGCCAGGGCTGGGTCCCCCTCTGCCTGCACTGGCTTTGTGGAACTCTGTGTAAAATAAGGGAACAAAATCCGGATTTCCATTTTATTTTGTCTTTTTTTTACTGCCAAAGATAACTTTTCCTTGCAACCCTTGTTAGCCTGTGTCCCATAGCGCTGCCTGCTTGCTTTGGACCAGGAGGCAGGAGATAACACCCCTGCCGGAGAGCCTGCCCGCCGCCACGGATAAAGCAGTTTATGGTCTTAATGTGTATTCAAGGTAAATCCCAGTGAAATCCCCTGGTTTTGAGCACGTGCTGGAGCGGGCAGGCGTGCTGCTCCCGCGCTCAACGTGCGTCACCTCCCGGCATGTCCTGGCACCATACCAGGCAGGCACAAGACAAGGGGATATTGTCCCTGCAGCCCCGAGCCCCGCAGGCAGCAGGTCCTCAAGGCAGTCAGCAGAGTGTGACGGATGCATGGACTGCTTTGTCCTCGCCGGTGGCAGGGGGTGACATTCCTCAGCACAGCAGGACCCGCCGCGGGAGGCAATCCCCCTTCTGCAGTGTTTTGGGTACGGAAAAGGGATGCAGGCAGCCATGAAGTCAGATGGTTTGGTCTCCGACCAGGCAGCCAGTGGGGAAGGCAGAGGGTGGAATTTGGCACCATGGTAGAGAAACCCTTGGATCACACTTCCCATGCAAACCCTGCTGCTGCCCCCACCAACCCCCAGCCAACTCCTGGGTGCACCAGGTTTTGCTGCATCCACGGGAACCGCAGCAGTAACAGCTGCCTGCCGGCACGGCTACCACACTCACATAGCCACAGCGGTGTAAATCATGGCTTGACCCCAGGTTTGCACCGGCTGCCGGCCCTCTGCAAAGGGCTGGCCTTGTCATCTCGTACGGTGACACCCGCCGCTGATTTACAACCAGGTTGGGAGCAGGGTGGTGACACACCAGACACCTCCTCACCCTCCCGCAGACAGTGGTGGCAGCACCCGGCCCTTTCCCTGCTGCTCAGCTCCTTCCCTGGGCATCACTCGAGCACAGAGGCAGCAGGGCTGGATGTGGCCATGCTGCGAAGTGTGTTACTGGGTCCCCGCAGCCCTCTCCTGCGCGCAAGGCAGGAGCTGCACTCGGCAGTGACCCGGCCCTGACCGCGGCAAGGAGGGCCAGGGTTAGGAGAGCCCATCCATGGGTTTAAATCAACGCCCTCCACTTCCCTTCCATGCTGAGTTATTGCGCCCTGGTTTTGTGATGGAGATGACCAGGCAGTGAGGGATAAGTGACCTGGGCCAGACCACCAGGCTCGGCGCTCCCAGCCAAACTCTGGGCAAGGGGTGAAAGATCAGAGCTGTCCTCCAGCCCCTTCCCAGCCCTGCCACCTGCATGGATGCTCCTGAGCGTCAGCTGTGATTTAGTGTGTGTAGGTTCACCAGGAGAGTGGGTGATGCTCTGCTGCTGGAGGAGCTGCTCTGAGCAGAGCATCCCCGCAGTGAAGCAGCTGGCTCTGATGTGCTGGGCAGGGGCATCCTTCTCCCCACAACTGTTTCCACATGTCAGCTGGGTTATTTACCTCCAAGCTGTGCCTCATCCCCTCCCTCTGTCCAGGATGTCCTTAAGGGACAGCTTCCCAGGCAGTGAGGCTCAGGTACGTACAGTGAAACCTGAGAGGATACCATCACATCTGGGAGGATGCCATCACATCTGGGAAGATGCTATGAGATCTGGGAGGATGCAATGATGTGTGGGAGGATGCCACGATGGCTGGGAGGATGCTGTCACATCTGGAAGGATGCTATGATGTCTGGGAGGATGCCGTGACATCTGGGAGCATGCCATCACATCTGGAAGGATGCTGTGACGTCTGGGAGGAGGCCATGATGGCTGGGAGGATGCCATCAGCTCTGGAAGGAAGTTATGACATCTGGGAGGATGCCTTCACATCTGGAAGGATGCGATGGCATCTGGGAGGATACCGAGACGTCTACATACAAACTTCTTAAAAAAATAAATACCACTAATTAAAAAAAAAAAAAAATTAAACCTAAGCCCAGCCTGCCCGCTGCCCTCTCAGCAGCCGCAGGAGCGTGTCCAGCCCGGTGGTTGGACCCGGGAGCGCTGGAGGCGGCGAGCAGGGCCGGGACACACCCGGGCAGCCGCGGCTCAGCCTCCTCCCGCGGCCTCCGGCATCCCCTTGTGGCAGCCGAAGGCTTTGCAAAGCCCCATCAGCAGCAAAAAGCTCTGCGAGAAATATTCCCCGGTGCCATCCTGCCTGTCCCTTCCGTGGCCCGGCCACCCCAAGGCTGCGGTGCAGCGAAGGGGACCGCACGGCGCTGCGGGAAACTCCTGCCCCCACCAAAGGCACCGGCAAACGGGCAAGGCTGTGCCCGTGGCACCCCGGAGCTCGTCCTTACGCAACTGGCTCAGAGCCTCCTGCTTGCCGCAGGCGGCAGATTACGGCACAGAGCTCCCCAGATAACTCCCTAAGCCCTAAATCTGCTCCCAGTCCTCTCCCAAGATACGGCAGCGCAGGAGGATGGCTATGGGGTAGGAGGTGTCACGCCGGAGTGACACCGTGCTGGCCGTGCCATCCAACTGATGCAGCGGGAGCAGAAGGCTCAGTCCCCAAATGAGGGGCCAGGGTTAGTTCTTGGTGCTGCAACGGGGGATCCAGCACTGCGGATGTTCCCCTGCAGCATTCACCAGCTTTGGGGGCTTTCCCAGGTGGAGCAGACCCAAGGGGGCTGGCAGCCTTCACGCGGTGCCAAAGTGCTCGGAGCAGGTCCTGGCCCCTGGCAGGGATGGACATGACCGGGGTGACACCAGGGTCCAGGAGGACACTGAAGGCACAGAGCCCAGCTCCTGCTCCACAGCATTCAGCATCAGCATCCTCAGCTCACACATCCTGGCAGGATGCACCCAGCACAGAAGAAACATCTGGGATCCTTCATCTGCTCCATATTTCCATGTTGAAGGATGGAAGAAAAGTGACCTTTGGGACTCTGCCTTAACGGCTGCTTTAAATGGAGAATGTGGCCTCCCATGATCTGCTTTGGGACCAAACTCATGACTTTTTGCCATGAAAATAGCTGATCCGGGGACTGAACGTGCCCTTTTCCAGATCCCACAGGACAGCTGGCCCCTGTACCTCGGAAAACATGTAAAAAGCAACCAACCAAAAAAATTCAAAATAAAAATCCTTAAAGATGAAGATAAGAGACCAGTCAGGTTTCACATTGAATTCAGGAAACTGGTTTTGGAGCTCCTGACTAAGGCTACCCTGAGCTCACCAGCGCCCAGAGGGTTTGGGAATCACGTGGCCAGAGGAGGTGGGCTGGAGGCTCCAAGGCACCTCTCAAGGGGGAGGTTGCAGAGTTTATTTAATGCACCCGCACAGTTATGGGTATCTGTGCCCTTGGCCGAAGCAGCAGTTCTCTAGGTTTATCTGATGAGGAAATTCACCTGCGTATAAAGGGATCTGGAAGGGGCGGGGGGGTTTTTTTTGGGTAGCTGAGCTGATGGGGACTGCTCAGGCAGCAGTGTCTTACTGAGGTGAGACAGGTATAAAAATACAGCCCAGGACTCCCAGCAGCTCCTCAGCTAAAGATGCTAAATCCTGCCCAAGCAGCTCTGATCCCGCTCAGGATGAATGGAGCCATTTTAAGCAACAGTTTAAATTAAGTTATCTTGGCTAGCTGAGCCCATGTCAACGTGCAGGTTGTCACAGCTTTGGTGCCCGAAGGCCACCTCAGAGCCAGAGCAGAAATCTCTTTCTCACTGCAAAGAGTAGGAGTGATTTTCCGCTGTCCTCTTGCAAAGTTTTCCTTCCTGGTTGGAGCCGTGATGCTGCCCAGCCGAAGAGGGACCCGCGGGGAAAGTCTGAGCAGCCCCAGGTAAGCTCAGGGTACAGCAAGAAGACCATCCCTCATCCCCAGAGCCTGCTTTGGGAGGTCTAAGAGGGGTGGGACAGTTTAACAAAATTGCAAAGGCTTTCTTCCCTTCACAGTACCAATCAATTAATGGTTGGCTTCTACTTAGAAGCAAAATGGTTTAATTTCTGCTGCCAGGCTGCAGCCAGTCCATCCCTGTCCCAGAGCTCCTGTACCAGGGCTGCGGGTTGCCCTGTGTCGCGCGGTTTAAGGGGCTCCCTGGGGAGCTGAGAGCTGCTCCGGCCTCTCCTCTCCCACTGCTTGGTCGTAAGGTGCCGGCTTTAACCCTTCTCTTTGTACACTGCTCTGGTTCTGCTACTAGGAAAGGTCTTTGCTGCTGCTTTGATGTGCACCACTTCAGTGGGGAGGGCACTGTGGGAAGCGCTCCGACCCCAGCCGTGTGCTGTGGGGAGGGATGGAGATGTGTCCTTCCTGCTGGCGCTTGGCACAGCAGCCCAGCTGCGTTCAGTGCCCTGATCAGCATCCCTACTGCCCTGGAGACATTCCCAATCTCCCCACCCACCTGGTTTTAACACCTCGACCATGGGACATTTATCCCCCTTTCAAACTCCCAGGATGTCCCCCAGTTTTCTGCACTCTGAGCTGGGGAGAGTGCTGTGGGGAGCTGCTCTCCACCTGGGGTTTCGCAGCACCCAAACCCAGGTGCAAGAGTTTGCATGGGGCAGAGGATGGAAATGGGACTCATGGGCTGTGCCAGCAGCTGGGAGCCAGCCGAGGCTTCCCGGTGGGATGAGGGATGTCAGAGCCCACACGGTTCCCACGCCCACTCTGTGTCTACACAGGGGGGAGTGAACAGTCCGGAGTGTCCCCTCATCCTCCCAGGAGAGGCTCCTGGCCCCCGGCAGGGCTCGGGGCCAAGCTGGGCTCCCTGCCCCGGGCCGGGCCGGATGACAGATGCCTGCAGTGGAGGAGAACATGCAGCAGCCCCCGCTTCCAGCCTGGATCCCTCTGACCCGGAGCTGCACTATGAGGAGGAGGAGGAGGAGGAGGAGGAGCCCTCGGACACCAGCAGCATCTTCTCTGATGACTCCGTTTACCCTTGCTATGAGCCCTCCCCGGGGGCTGGTGGTGCCAGGGACCTCAGCCTCTACCAGTGCTGTGCCAGGAATGATGCCAAGCTGCTGCGGGAGAGGCTGGAGCATGGGGTGACCCGGAGTGAGGCCACGGAGCTGGACATCAACGGGAGGGTGAGTGGCTGGGTGGGCACCCTGTGGAGCAGAAAGAGGATTTCCTGGGAACAGGCAGATCTGAAGAGTGGTAGTTGCTAAAGCAGGTGGAGCAGGAAGGGGAGTCCAGGGTGGGTTGGCTTTGAAGGGATGGGTCTCCTGGGACTGATCCAGTCCTTGGGGCAGAACCTTGTCTGTCCTCCCATACTGAGCCTGTCTGGTTTGGGGTGGGGGGGAGAAGTAGGGGGGCCATGGGGAGCACCGCAGTGGGGAGGATGGTGCAGTGCCAGACCCGGCACTGAGTGCTGCCCCCTCTCCAGAACGGGCTGATGGTCGCCTGCTACAAGGGCTTCGTGGACATCGTGCCCCTGCTGCAGAAGTGCCCCTACATAAATATCAACCAGCAGGACAAGGACGGGAACACGGCCCTCATGATGGCTGCCCAGGCAGGTAAGCACCGTGCTCAGCCTCAGCATGGGGCCGCCCCCACAAGACCCCTCGAGAAGCAATGTGATGCTTCCCCTGTGCTTCCCCTCCAAAATCCCTAAAATTACAAAATCACAGAAAGGTTTAGGTTGGAAAGGGTCTTAAAGGCCATCCAGTTCCCCCTTCTGCCCTGGACAGGGACACCTCCCACCAGCCCAGTTTGCTCCAAGCCCCGTCCAACGTGGCCTTGAACACCTCCAGGGATGGGGCAGCCACAGCTTCTCGGGGCAACCTGTGCCAGGGGCTCACCACCCTCACAGGCAACAATTTCTGCTTCATATCTCAGCTAAATCTCCCCTCTTTCAGTGTTAAACCATTCCCCCTCATCCTATTGCTCCCCTCCCTGATCCAGAGTCCCTCCCCAGCTCTCCTGGAGCCCCTTTAGGCACTGGAAGGGGCTCTGAGGTCTCCCCTTTTTCACCTTCTCTTCTCCAGGCTGAACACCCCCAACTCTCTCAGCCTGTCCTCCCAGCAGAGGGGGTCCTATGTGCCATCGAGAAAGATGAGGGTCCCAAGTGGCATGACCCTCCCCATCTAAATGTGTGCTTCATCTTAGCACCATTTTAAAACTGAGTAGGTGATACAAAAATGGAGATTCCTACAAGCAATGTTGTCTTGCAACACGTCCCACCTGAGCAGTCGTATCAAGCAGTGGAGCTGAGCCAGAGCCACCCCATGTGCTCCGAAAAAGCCCCGTGAGCTGCAGTGATTTACCTGCACACAAGGTCCAAGCTAGCAAACGCCACGTGTAGGGTTTTTTTTTGTCACGATGGTTTTTCTTGCTATGACAGAGAGTCCGACTCCCTCTGCCCTGATTAACCGCGGGGGTAAGGAGAAGGTCTCAAAGTGGGGATCACCTTTTATCCCCACTTTATCCTTGCTGGAATTGATGATTTGTTTTTCATTTTTGGACTCTTTCCTGCATTCTCTGCTGAAGCAGCTGGTGCGCCAGTGCTGTTCCCTGCACAGCCAAACCCAAAACAAAATAAACCCAAACATTTTCAGTCCTGATCCCTCCAAGTTTCTGCATTTTTGTCCTCATGAGATGCAGTTGCGAAATACTTTTTCTCCAACAGGCATCAGCAGTTGCCACTTGTTAACTGTTGAAACTCTAACGCAGCTTCTCTTGGCTGTTAAGGACACATCACCATCGTCAACTACCTCCTCAACTACTACCCTGGGCTCGAGGTGGACAAGCGGGACCCTCGAGGCCTGACAGCGCTGATGAAGGCTGCAGTGCAGGGGCGGCAGGACTGTGTGGCCGCCCTGCTCATGGCTGGTGAGCATAGAATCATAGAATCATAGAATGGTTTAGGTTGGAAAGGGACCTTAAAGCTCATCTCGTTCTCCCTACTGACCTAAGCAGTGACACCTCCCACCAGCCCAGGTTGCTCCAAGCCCCGTCCAACCTGGCCTTGAACACCTCCAGGGATGGGGCAGCCACAGCTTCTCGGCGCAACCTGCGCCAGGGGCTCACCGCCCTCACACTCAACAATTTCTTCCTAATATCTGATCTAAATCTCCCTTCTTCCAGTTTGAAGCCATTCCCCCTCGTCCTATCACTACATGCCCTTGTGAAAAGTCCCTCCCCAGCTCTCCTGTAGCCCCTTTAGGGACTGGAATGGCACTATAAGGTCACCCCTGAGCCTTCTCTTCTCCCAACTCTCCCAGCCTGTCCTCATAGGAGAGGTGCTCCCTTTGATCATCTCTGTGGCCTCCTCTGGCCCTGTTCTAACAGGTCCATGTACTTCTGATGTTGGTGGCCCCAGAGCTGGAGGCAGTACTCCAGGTGGGGTCTCAGCAGAGCAGAGCAGAGGGACAGAATCCCCTCCCTTGCCCTGCTGGCCACACTTCTGATGCAGCCCGGGATACGGTTGGCCTTCTGGGCTGCAACCGTGCATTGACAGCTCATGTTGAGCTTCTCATCAATCAGCACCCCCAGGTCCTTCTCAGGGCTGCTCTCAATCCATTCTCAGCCTGGATTTGTGCTTGGGATTGCCCCAACCCATGTGCAGGACCTTGCATCTCCCTGGGGATATTCTGGGATTTTTTGGGAAGGGATGGTATTGCTGCTCACCCTGTGCTTGGACCCTTTGCTCCGGGGTGGGACGCTGTAGTGATGCTCTCCGCATCCTGGTGTCTCCAGGAGCAGACTTACAAGCGGTGGATCCCGTCAAGGGGAAGACAGCCAGGGAGTGGGCAGCCTTCACTGGCCGCTTCGAGACAACCGTGCGGATCCGAAGCCTCCTGCAGCACCCGCGGGCCGAGCAGTTTAGCACTCGGTACCGGCCCGAGTGGCCAGCCCTGGCCGAGCTGGGAGCCAAGGCTCTGAGCCCCAAAACCAGGGGCAAGAGGCTGTCAGACAAGATCCGATCAATGTTCACCTTCAACTTCCCCCACGATCCCGAGGAGGATGGCATGATGGACCACATGGTGAGGATGACCACCTCCCTCGCCAGCCCTTTCGTGGCCACTGCTTGCCAAACCATCTGCCCTGACAGCCCCCCTGAGGTGGGCAAGCACAGGCTGTCCGTGCCAGAGATCCTTGGGCAGCACATGCCAGATCCAGATGCTGAGCCAGAACATACCTCATGCCCCGGCACTGGTGCATCCTCTTGCAATGGCCAAGCCATGTCGGAGATCCGACTCCTGCCGCCGCGCCGGCCGGACAGGGGCCTCCTGAGCTTCCTGCCCCTGCGGCTGCGGTGCAGGAACAGCATTTTCCCCGGAGAGCCCATCCCGAAAATCAAAGTGAGCAAAGCCTCCTTCCCACCGGCCCGCTCGAAGGAGCGGAGGCAGCGTGGGGGGGACAAGAACCTGCTGCAGCCTCCCAAGTGGAGGTACAAGGAGCTGAAGGAGGAGAAGAGAGCGGCCAAGGAGGCAGAGAGTGAGGAGAAAAAGAAGAAAAGGGGGAAGAGATGCTAAGGCAGGAGGTGTCAGGGTGGGGGCGAGGTCCCGACTGCCCCCTTGAACCTGCTTGCTTTTTTGGCACAGGGGTGATTTCCTTTCCCAGTGGGATGGTGATGCCTGAGGGAGGAGGATGCTGGGGACATACCCAGCAGAGATGCCCCATCCCCTGTGGTCCCGGGTCCCTGACCCCCTGCCCGACCCCTCGCCCTCAGCTGCCCAGACCCAGCTCTGGTCGTGCTGGGCTCCGATGTGCTGAGACCCTGCCCTGGACCAGACTCTGGCTCTGCCAGGGAGCAGGTCTGTGGCTTAAGCAGCTCTTTTCTCTTCTTTTTTCTTTTTATTTTTTTGCCTCTTTGATCTTCCCTGAGATCTTGATCTTGCAGCACGTGGCGGAATGCAGCCGTGTAAATTAAAATGGAAGTGGTTGCCATGTTAACAGGATTGTCTTAATGAGTAAAGCGCAGGGCTGGTTGTTGGGCTGGCAGGAACACTTCCCCCTTGCTGTCAGCTTCCCCTGTCCACCCCATCACCCCCTCGGTGACATTAACTTCCCCACTCCTCTGTATTCCTGGGTTGCAGGAGGACAAACGAAGGCTCAGTGTGGAGAAGCATCTCCACACTGCAGGAGGGTTAACAGGAGCTGGGTGCCAGACTGGAATCCAAACCTGGGGTGCTCATGGGCTCCATCCCAGGCTGCCAACAGCTCAGCCGCCCTCCAGAGAGGGGATGGTCAGAGAGGAGGCAGCTTTTGAGCTCCAACCTTCCCCAGCACAGGACCCAGAGGTCCCTTTTCCCAAGAAAAACTGGCCTCCAGGAGCTCCAGCCTGGGCCCGCATGGAGCCACGGCACCCCTCACCTGCGCCCTTGCAGCCCCCCGGGACCCACTCCCCCAGGGAGCCATGCAGCTGCCCTTTTGTTGGGTGCTGGCACACACTGGATGTGCTGCAGCAGCAACCAGCTTACGCTCCCTGTATTTCAAGCTCCTCTTAAATCCGGCTCCATCCCGGGGCGTAGGAAGGTGAACCTGGGTGCCAGCTGCCCTGAGCAGCGGCGCTGGCTTCTGCAGCACCCAAGCACCCGGGGTTTGACCCTCAAGGGCAGCAAGAGCCACTCGAAGCACTAGTTATCCAGGTGATAAATAACCCTTGGCCAGGCATGTAGCCCAGAACAGAGCCCCATCCCTTCACTGCCCCCTTCTTTATGGGGACAAAAGACCCAGTCCCCACTTTTAGGCTGAGGGGCCACCTTTTGGGGGGACGGGGAGGTTTGGGCCGAGTGGCGAGCAGGTGGGGAAGGATGGTCATCGGGAAGGAGCTGCAACCTCCCCGTCTGTTCCCCTCCAGCCTTTGGCTCGTGTTGGGCTCCCCGGCACGTGGCTGCCCTCCTTCGCCAGCTCCCGGCGGCGGCTCACAGATGAGCCGGGGGCGGACGGCACATGGATGAGCCTTTACACACACTGCGCCAGCCCGGCTCCTGCCATGCAGGGGGAAGGGAGAGCCGGGCTCCCACCGGCCCCTCGTCCCCCTCTGCCTCTGCAAGGACAGCTCGGTGAAACCCCGAGGGGTGGCTGGATGCACCCATGGGGGGGTGCGACCACAGTCCAGGGGTGCCGGTGCCCTTCTGCGGGATGAAGTCACAGTGCACAGCAATGAGTGCCCAAACGATGACAGAAAGTCTGGCTTTCTCTTCGAGGGGGTGGCAGGAGGTTGCGCCGTGGTGGGCAGGGCCAGCGCAGGACCACGATTCGCGGTGCTGCCGGTGAACCGCGTTTAGGCCAGCACTGAGGCGGGTGCCCATCCCCGCTGATTCAACCCAGCTGCCCCAAATGGGGGCTGGCACTGGCGCAAGTGTGGAGTGGGGCAGGGATCGCCCTTCCTGCGGCTAAGAGAGACTGGGGTGGGTTTGATACGTTCATTAATGTACCTCTGTGGATTAATTTGCTTTCCTATGGCAGCAGTGCCAGAACCACCGCCCAGCCCAGGGCTCCCCCCCACCCCTGCCCTTTGAGTCTCCCAGGAGTAGGACTTAGTAGCTTTTAGAAGTTTTTAAACAAGTGTTTGTCCCCCCAGTGATGACTATTGTTAAAAATATGGAGCTGCCCCATTTGGAAGATGAAAGTTCAGGGACGGAAGCAGCGGGCATCAGCGCTCGTTGGAGAGCCATCAGCTGCCCTCGGCTACCCAGGGAAACTCCTGCCAGCAGCCATAAAAGTGGGGTGCCAGTGCCCGCCATGTGCCTGCACCCGGGGAAGGCAGCTGGGACACAGGAGCCATCCAGGAATAACTTCAGGAGGGGCCGATCACCAGTCAGATCACCGAGACCTGCGCGCCAGAGCAAAGATGGTCATGGTGATAAGGCATCTGCAGGCACCGGCTTCCTCCCGGGCGGCTCCTATCTGATGGAAACTGCCCGTTTCCCCTGCGCCGGCTCCGCAAACCTCCCAGCCCCAGCGCGGGCAAGGTCATGCGTGAAGGTCCTTCATGTTTTATCCTGGTTTTGTGCTTTTGTTTGTTTAAACTTCCTAGATCATGGATGATAGCAGGGGAGAGGCGGCTGGCAAGACCTCAAAGCTTCGCAGCCGCGCTCTGCTCCCCCGGCATGGGGAGGCTCCAGGTGCTGGTTGGGTTCATGGTGCAATTGGGGTTGGTGATGCAATGGGGAACAGAGAGGTAAATCCAGCCCTGTGACTTCGTTAGGAAAAATGCTGCCTGCTGCCTCCACCTGCCAATGGGAGCAGGCCACTGTGCTGGGGGGGAGCAGCTGGGAGAAAAGCAGAGATGGGGCTTGGAAAGGCGCTGGAGGGAGAGGAGGGGGACGGGAGGAGTGCGAAGCTGCCCAGAGTGGGGTGGCTGAAAGAAAACGACCCCAAAGCGGCAAAAGGGGAAGCGACACTTCCGCTGCCCACAGCCCTGGCGGCCCCACGTGTCCCGGGGGAGCGGGAAGTGCCCAGCCTCCCCCCGTGGGAACAGCCCCGCTGTCCACGTCCCAGCGCCTGCTGCCACGGCATCTCAAGGGCTGTGGTGGGGGACAGTGGAGCCGTGCCGGCAGGAGGCACCGAGCAAACCCTCTTGGCCCACCCCAGCCCTGCTCCATGCCCACCATCGGGGCAGTGCATCCCTGAGGCGGTGACAATTCGGCAGCAACCCCCAATGCCATGTTACACACTGGGGAAGAAAACTTCCCCTGCCCTCCAGCTCAGTACCCCAAAAGTCCCGCTGGGATGTTGTGGCCAACATTAAATAATCGGGGAGCCCCTTGGCTCTGCCATGGTGCTCCCATCCCCGTGAGGGCGGGACGCTGGAGCAGGAGGGATGGCCAAGCACATCAAGGTCATTCCCGCAGCATCTCTCCATACCATTCTCACCCCCAACACCATCAAAGCAACCGGCTGCACTTCTGCCAAAGGTATTTAGATGCTCGGGAAAGGAGACATGATCGACGTTCCCCCACCAATGGCTTGGGTTTGCCTTGAAAGCCGGGAAACCAGGGAGGGAAAGCGGCCAGTTGAAGGACAGGGGTGGGAGGAACGGGCTGAGGGAGAGCAACCAGGATGGAGCTGGGGCCCGGTGTGCGGGAGGAAGGGAGGCTGGCCGTGGATGTGTGCTCAGCAATAGGAAATGCTTTATTAGCTGGGAGTGGTGGAGAGAAGCCAGGCAGGAAGAGGCAGTAATAAGAAACATTTTTTTGACTTCTCCCACATTCAGACCGCAGAACGCTTGCCAAGTGGCTGCGTTCGGACAACGGGGCCACTGAACCAAGCCCCCAGGTCCGGGACAGGGATAGAGACATTCCCCTGCCGGGACGGGTGACGCTGCGGCCGCGGGAGCTCCTGCGGTGCCGGGATGGGCAGCGGGAGGGGAGCAGACCCATGAAGCTCCTCCAAGCCAGGGTGCACGGCACGGAGCAGAGCTGCCCCGGCTGAGCTGCTCACGCCCCCTCCGAGCTCAGGACTGCGGCCAGGAGAGCCCCACTGGAGGCAGGCAGTGCTGCGGTTACCCGTGGGACGCGGATGCTGTAGGTGAGTGGGGAAGCGCCACGCGCTTGTGGGGTCTGGGGCTGCACCAAGCTCAGTGCTTCCCTCCTGATTTACCCCACTGCAGCCGAAATCAGGATTTGGCCCCATTTCCTTCACGTTCAGTGGGACACCGATGTTGACGTCAGGGTTAGCGGAGGCTGGAATAGGGGCTCTGGCGGAGCTGGGAGAATAAATCTGGATTTACACTAGTGCAGTATTAGCAGGATTCTTCCCCAGGTCCTTGTTAAAGAGCTGAAATAATACGTGGCTGCTACCAAAAGCTCAGAGCTGACATGGGACATGGAGAATTTGGGTGTATTTTGAAAAGACACGAGTAAAATGAGGGAAAGTTGACAGCTCCACCAGCCGGGGGCTGGAGAGAGGGCGGTGGGGCACAGACAGCAGCGACGCCGCAGGACGCGCCACCTCGACGTGCCCTTTGTGCAAAGCCAAAACCCAGGTCCCTCAGTGGAAGGGCGGACAAAGAAGAGACAAACGGCCGCTATGGAGGTTCCGTTTTCAGGTCAAAGTGCCTAAAGCAAAGCTGGTGCTGTGGGAGCTCTGCCCCGCCACCAGCATTCCAACCCTGCTGCAAGGATCCCTGCTCCCCTCGTCCCTGCTCTGCATGACTCCGCGTGTGACACTGGCCGCGCTTTCCTGCCTCGCCAAGAGATTAACATGGATATGAGCTGGGTTTGCCACTCTCTTTGCGTTCCTCATTTATGGTACAGAGATGCCCATCGGCACGAGAGGGTCCGGGGCAGTGCAGCCCACCCATGCAGGTCCCTGAGCTGAGTGATGCATCCATCCCTCCTGCGCCGGCTGCACCAGAGGGTCCAGAGGGCACAAGCAGCTTTGCTGCATGTGACCACCCTGCAGCTGTGGGGAGCGGGGAGGAAAACCACCTTCCATTGACTGAAACCATGCTGAAGCCTTGGGATTCCACGGCAGAGCTCTTGCCGACCCCGATGTGGTGTCCATCCAGCCCTTCGTACCTGCA